AACCAAATTTTACATAAACTGACAACAAATGTAATTAAATATATACTTTACATCTAGTTTAATTTAAATACTTTAATTATAAATCTTTAAAAACATTGTATAAATGTATTTATTATATTATAACCTCAAAAAACGTGTACATGCTCTGAAATCTGACATTTTATTTAGAGTGAAGTTGGTAGTATAACAGGAACTGTCAACGGAAAAATAAAGCGGTAAAATTCAAATTTGAATAAATGTCAAATGTTTTAAAAAAAGAACCAGTTATAAATAATACTATATATAAATATATTATTCATTATATAAAAGGTAAAAATACTATTTTTATTATTCTGCAAAATATGACACTCTTTCTTAAAAATCAAAAACTCATTTCTTTTTTGCTCTAATGCAATAAATAACGTAAATTGAATACAAATACAAATAATCTTTTTAATTAATTTTTTAGAGACAAATAAACGCGAGAAAACTAATTAATATTATTATTATGTTATACAAAACCAAAATTTATTCGAAAATATTTTTGTGCACAAATGATAAATGATGTCATCTCTTATGTTAACGTAAAGTAAAATCAGAAAATCAATCTAATTTCATGGTTATGGTAATCGTGCAAAAATCGAATTGCAATTTTTTTGCATATCTTCGCGTTTTGAAGGTTTCTGAACATTTTGGCATACCTCAGAAAAAATAGATGTGTTTGTGTGTGCGGATGCAAATTTTCGTCCACGTTTTCGGGCGCACGGATCAACCGATTTGAATGGTTCAAAAATATTCGCTTCCCATTGATAGGGAGATGTGCTGATTAGTTTTTGGCAAGGGCAGGTCCAGCCGTTTCGGAGATAAGAAGCAAAGAGTGCAGAAAATAGAAATCGAGTTTTTGAGAGATCGGAGCATCGGATTTGAATGATCCAAAAAACATTCAATTCGTAATGACGGGGAGAAGTGGTGATTAGTTTTTAGCAAAGGCAGGTCCAGCGATTTCGGAGATACAGAGCTATATGTGCAAAAAATGGCAGTTCCTGGGAGAACTCAGCATCCGATTTGAATGATTCAAAAAACTTTTTGCTTGTGTTTGGAGAAAGATTTTTTTTTGCATTTTATTCTCAGAATATTTCATTACGGTACGGGAATTTCTAGCAATTTGCCTCAAGGCACGATGCCATACACCACTAGTATTTTTCAAGATTATATTGCTTTAAGCAAGTTGTAAGATATTCATTTGTAAATTGACTTATAATAATTCTTCTCAATATTTATTATAATTCTTATTAATAACACTAATTAAATAATCAGTTTTAACTATATATGAACGAATTGAAAAAAAAATTACGAATTTAGTATTAATTAGGAGTCCGACTCGCTAATTCCTAGCAAAATCTATTATAACCTTCTCCAATTAGTATCATAGCAACCGAATTAGCACCAACAAACAAACCGATACAAGAATCTAACTAGAACGCAATTGCGATTATCGGAATCCAATCGGAAACTTATTGGAAATGTGTCAGAAGATAAATAGAATATGTATGTGTGTCATTAGTTTGTCAAGCTCAGGAAAAATCCTGTAAGGATAAATAATAATAGATAATAATAATTTAACAAAAAGTGCATACGTAGTTGAGTTATAAAGTCCAATAGTAAACCTCGGAATTAGTTTAAAGGGTAAAATTGAATGTAGAGCCTGTCGCTGAATAAAAATAGTATAAAGGAAATGTCCTGGCAAAATAAATAATAATAGATTATTTAAATTTAATAACAAGTGCATATAAAGACGACTGTAAAATCCAAAAGTTACAGTAGTGTTAAATCACGTATTGTCTCTGTCGCCAATAGTTTATTGGATACTTGTTATTTTAAAAAGGGACATGAAAGTTTGTTTTATTATCTTACAGTAAGATAAAAGAACTAGAGTATTAAGATTAGAGAGACTGATTTCTGTCTGATGCAAAATTCATCAATTATGTGATTGGATGTATCATTAATTAAGAATAAGTTGTATCTGGGGCGGTTAATTATGTTTTTTTAAAAATGGAAGATACAAATATTCTTCCCGGAATAATTACGAAAACAAGAAGAACTAGTGCAGAGATCATCAAAGAGGCCAAGCAGCACATCCAGGATGTTCAAGGTAAAAATATAAGTTGTAAACAATTTAATGACAAACTCGAATAGGGCTCAATACATTGTTTCTTGTTATTAAGTGTGAAAATTACGTCATTCTATTTGCCGCGCGATCAGGCGTATTTTACATACAAACAAGCAAGGAAGAATGTTATAACAGAATTTTAGATAGTGTAGTTATTATAACATTCTTCCTTCGGTCAAGTCGTTCTGAATCGTTTGAAGTCGAAATTATACGAAATCGTCTAAGGCATTTCGTAAAAATTAGAAGATAAGTGCAAAGTTTTTCTTTAGTAACCGAGAATACCTATTAAAGTTGTAGTAACATTTTAAACAAATAAGAGTGATCTAGCAATATCTGAGAATATATCCATAAAAGACCATAAATCTAATATATTTATTTATAATTAGATAGTGTAGTTATTATAACATTATTCCTTAGTTCAAGTCGTTCTGAATCGTTTGACATCGAAACTGTATCAAATCGGCTAAGGCATTTCTTTAAAATTAGGAGATAAGTGCAAAGTTTTTCTTTAGTAACCGAGAATACCTATTAAACTTGTTGTATCATTTTAAACAAATAAGAAAGTCTTAGCAATACACGAGAATATGTCCATAAAAGACCAAAAATCTAATATAATTTATTTATAAATATAATATTTTACCATTATCAGGAGGTACTAAACTCGTGGACACTTGCAGGCCCTATACGCCCAGGGCTCCAAATAGGGCCTTGTTTGGAAAAGGGGCGCCGCCTGGAAGACCACCGAGTGCCGTCAGGTAACCTAAATAAAATGATAATATTAATATAAATTATTGTTAGTAATTTCAATTAATTTATTTTTCAGTTTACATAATTTACAATTCGAAACATTGTCGGCAAGAAATTTGGAACCACTGTCTTTGAAATCAAGAGTAAGTAATACTAAACTCAAACTAAGGGACCGATTCTGTCGCATAGCATACCAATGTTATGGCAAGGCTATGTTATGAAGAACTTTCCATACTAAATATTGACAAAAGCCATGTGGTTGCTGTGCAGTCAGGCGTATTTCTCAGGTTGTCAGATAGAAAATCTAATCTGGAAACCGCACAAATGTTACAAGAACGATGTTAGATAACAGGGTCTTTTTGACCCAGCTTCATAACACACGAGTGACGTTGCAGTTTACGTGTAAAACGCCTGAAAGCACAGCAAATACATGACATTTTGATCGTTTTCAGTATGTGATTCAGTAGCATAATGTATGGATGTTGGAGCGTAACATGGCCTTCCCATAACATTTTTCTGATATGCGGCTGAATCGGTCGCTAAATTTATAAAATATAAATTAAGTGATTTATCTATTCATCTATTTATTTCTAGAGCAATAGTTTACCTCGTGTCCAATCAGCTTTGAGCCAAGAACGTGATCATTTACCATCTTTGGCACCACAGCCTCCGAAAACGGCACCAGGTAGACAAAGGCACTTAAATAATAATAATTAAAAAAAAACTATTCATATAATTGGTCAACAAAAGTATCGCAAATTTATAATGAACTTTTTATAATCAAAAAAGCTATGATTATTTTTAAAAGTACTTTTTATAATTTCTTTTTAGCTTTAGGACGATGCCCTTTGACAAACGGCATACAAGGCAAAGCCGTTTTCAAAAAATCGGAATTATTTCAACGTGCTTCAAGTTCTCATGAAGAATTTCAGGTAAGTTTTACACCATTAGTTCATTACAGAAATCATTACCATTTTGAATTCATTTATTTTATTTCTCAGGTGCCTTCAACTTCCATCGAATCCTGGTCAAGTGCAGATTTGACTAGATTCCTGTTATCGAAAAGAGGCGATACCGAACCAGATGAGTTGTTAGTGAGGGCTCTGGTAGAAATCAGGGCCGAACATCGAAAACAGGAGACTTTTGAGAGATCTAAGAGGAGTGAACTTTTGGCGGCTTTGTATGGGTTGGTGGATTCGCAAGATGCCAGAGTTTTGTTGGAAGTTGCTGCTATTGTCTTATCGGTAAGGTAAAACATACATACATATATATATATATACAAATATATATATATATATATATATATATATATAAATATCTTTTTATTTTTTAGATGGGAGCAACTGGCAGCAATTTAGCAGGCGCATGCAAGTTAATCTACAAAGTTGCCAAATCAGAAGAAAATGATCAGATTATATCCGAATCTGATATACCAGGTATAATATATTACTTTTGTTATTATAGGTAAAAAATAAAAATATGAAGGTCTAAGATGTGAATGTATCTCCTGCTAATCTTCTGCAACTTTCTATTCATTTTATAAACATATTGTATAATAAACGCAAAAAAAGTATTTACATAATAATAAAAAAATAATGACATAAAGTATTTACATAATAATAAATCTCAAAATGGCGAATCAATAGCCCCCTAACAGATTTTGGTTTTTAAAAAACAACATAGTTAGATGACGATATAATTAATTATATTTGATCCGCATAATTATCGACCATTTTCCCATTTAAAAAGAGCAATCATCTATGTAATATCACCTTATTCTTTATGAATTCTAGAATAAGGAATTCCTCAAGGTAGTTAATTAGGCCCTCTTTTTATTAATTACATCTTTCACCTGTTTGTACAACAAGATGTAAAATCAAAATGGATTACATGAATATTAGTATAAATTAAATTAATATTGCTTTGAATTGAATCTGGAGTGATTCAAGGCAGTATGTTGAGACCGTTCTGTACATATTGTCTAATTAAAATAATGATTTTTTAATATTCTAGAACTACTGATTGATGGTTTAGCCAGGGCCAATCCTTGTGAAGATACTGACGCATGTAAGTAATTTTTTTTTACTTATATATTAGGGTGGTCCTTAATATGGACATTTTCGATTTTTTTTGCTCCCAAGGGCTCAAATGCTTCCAAAATAATAAAAAAGAATTCTCTAAAAGTTTTTATTCTTGAAAGCAAAGAAATTCGAAGATGTCCATATTAAGGAGCACCCTAATATATATGTATATATATATATATATATATATAAACAAATAATTTTAATTTTTTAAGGTATTTACGGATATGGTGCATTACGCTTTTTGATTGCACCTGCAGAAGACAGGATAAGACCAATAAAAGGTAACTAGAACACTAATAATTAATATAATTCACATCAACTCAATATTAAATATCATTCATAAAAACTGCCAATCATGAATTTTTGTCACTCTTACGTAATGAAACAGCCTCATATGTGACTCTAATTTGATAATATTCAAACCCAGTTTTTATAGCCACAATAATCGCTTAATAATAAATGTAATTATCATTTTGAATTATTTAAAATTGTCCAAAACTGTCTAAAATCTTCTAAAATTGTAAAAGTTATCCAAAATTGTCTGAATTTGTTTAACATTATCTAGCATTGTCTAAAATCTTCTAAAATTGTCAAAGGTATCGAAAATTGTCCAAAATTTTCGTTATCCTGACCTTGTCTAAAATCTTATAAAATTGTAAAAGTTATCCAAAATTATCTGAATTTGTTTAAAACTGTCTAACAAAATTTAGACAATTTTGGACAGTTTTGGACATTTTTGGATTAATTTGACAATTTTAGAAGATTTTAGACATTGTTAGACAGTTTTAAACAACAAATTCAGACAATTTTAAAATGGTCCAAAACTGTCTAAAACAATTCACATTAAGTAATAACATTACTGATGTTTTCTTAATTTTTGTTTAATATTACTAAATGGTGACTCGACTTTGCAGGCGCAGCCAAATAAGTTTTACTTCAGTATTCTTTATTGTTACAGCAATCTTTATTGTATTTCTACCATTTAAATTCATTTTCAATATATTTTATCAATTGGTCACAGAAGATCTTCGCCAAGGCAAAATAACCGCAGAGCTGATGGAAAGAAGGGAAGTATCAACTCGTCCAAACTACGAGGTTGACCAGAACAAGGACATATCGGAGTCGATCGCCAAAAGGGTTCTGGAAAAGGGCGCCGGGGAGCTAATGGTGTTGCACTTAAAACTGTTGAACGAAATGGTAATAAAATAATATAATAAGTAAGATAGCATTATCTTTGTGTTAGTGTTTTAACTTCGTTTGTCTCTATTAACACACCTCATCACAAATTACTCGTTTATTGTCTCTACTTGCACTCTCTATAATATTCATATCTATATGTCATTATTGAAGTAAAACTTCTTTAGGCGCGACTCGGGTGTAAATCCGTAAAAATGCAACGGAAGTGCGTTACGGCAGATAAGAGTCGATAAGATAAGAGTCGAGTGCCAAAGATTCGTCATTCGTTTTCGATGATATCATTTTTATATGGGTCGATTGTGATTAGTCGTCGTCTATGTGAATAGAGATTTCTCGTTGTATGCGTACCGGCATCAACGATGTATGCGTATCAATATCAACAAGCAAATCGGCATTGATAAATAAACATTTTAAAATTACATCGTAGTACAAATCTTGATTTAATGAAAAATGCCTGAATTAGAAGAATATTTTACCCTGTTCCTTGAAATAATAAAACAAATTAAACGTTTGTGCCGTGTACTTAACGTAAGTTTATTGATTAGAAATTATTCGTAGTTTCTATAAATCTTTGAAGTTATTAAAATGGAAAATATTTTTTAGGCAAGACAGATATTACAGCTGTTCAAAGAATGAGATTGTATTGTTAGCGAAATAGTAAAAAACAGTCAATGAATGTATGTTAATTTTAATTACATGAAGTTCTTCAAACACAATTACCACATAATGAGTGAAGTTGAGAAAACAATATTTGTTTAGATGTTGTTTAACACAAATCACTGTGTGAACGGACATTATAGAATTTATTAATCAGCAATTACTTCATTCTTCTAATGAAGGTTCATTTCTAAATGTTAATTACAATGACAAACCGATCAAGTCATATTTGAAGTATGACTTCAATTACATTATTGTTTTTAAATATATACATATTTTTAATGCTACTATAAATATATAATTTATAATTTATCATTTTATAAATGATGTGTATGATGGTTGACGTTGACACTAATAAATGTATGCATCACGAGTGTTACCATATTACTAATAAACATTATTCAAAATTATTATATGATGTATTCATTATTTACTTAAATGCCATCTCGTACGGTTGCAAATAAGTTTTACTTCAATTTTTTTGCCTCTCACAATATATAATCGTACATTATACTTTTGTTATTCTATCTATATGTCATGCTATTTAGGTCAACGAATGTTTATCTTCTATCTAGTTGTCGATCATAATAAAGACTCTTTCATGTTTACTTATCTATGGACTCTTTATTATGATTTGTTCGTCAGTAGAATTCATTTATCTAGTTTTTAATATTTTAGGGTCCGATGCGAAGTGGAAGGATGCACACGGTTCTACAACTGTGCGCCGCATTGAGAGCCCTTGCGGGGTCTCAGTACGTCGCCTCTAATTCTCTAGCAGATTCGTGCGGACCACTTTTGAGAACCGCTGAGCTTTGCAATGGCCAAAAGGACGTTCTTGCTGTCTTGAGCAGAGCATTGAGGTAAAGGAGTGTTATTAATATTAATGATATACTCATTAGTGGAGTATAATCATATCTCCAATGGAAGTTGGATCGTAACATGGCCTTGCCATAACATTTGTCTGTTATGAGGCAGTATCAGTCCCTCAGTCTGCTCGTCAGTAGAATTTCTCGGACAGTCAAGATTCTTTCACCATTGCTAATTTTATATTCCGCAGTATTCTATCAGAATCGGCAACCAGTTGCGGAATTCTGGGATCTCGTGTAGACATTTTAGGAAGACTTTTGGACGCAGAAAGGTTGCCAACGCCTGCCCTGTTGAGATTTATTTACACTTTAGGCAACGTGATGGCACAATGCGATAGTGCCAGAGATATGGTAAAAAATAAAAATTATATGTAATAATAAAAGGTGGTCTCAACACACGTTCTTGAGGCACTCCTAGTCTTAGATTCTTTATATTTTAAGCATAGGGGTAAACCTAGAACAAATGTGCTTCACTCTGTATGAGTGTTTTCAGCATATCGCAGATGGTGCTAGCGTTTGTTTTAAAACACAATTTTTGTACAGTGTAATATATCTTTTTTGATGGAACATAATGTTTACTTTTTTCTCATTATATACTTTTTACAACACATTTGTGATTTTGGTTAAAATGTATTTTATACGCGTATATTTTGTTCTCATTTCATTTAGTGAAAAATTAATCAAATTAAAGGTTTATCTTTTCTATATTATATATTTACAATATAAGTCTTATCCTAGAATTAAACCTAAAGGTAAATTTACGTACTACGGTCGGTGGCGACATCTATGGTATGCTGAAAGAATTAAAATTGATATAATGTCAAAGCGGCCGTGTTTGCAATCTATTTATACTTGTTTCTCTATGATTTTAGTATTATGAAGATGAGAAGTCCCTGACGCAATTGTTAGACGTCATCCAGCAGTATTCGGAAATTGATTTTTTGAACAATGAGAATGATGAAGCTGTCGATGTCCTCGTCAAGGTAAGAATAAAGTTATAATTAGATGTACAGTAGAACATTGATTAACCGGACTAATTGTTGTCGATGGCATCCGGATAATCGAATGTATGAAGAATAATGTTGTGTATTTAATAAAAATAACAGATACATGCATAGATATCAACGAAAATAATGTTTATTAAGAAATTGAAACTTCCTTTTGTATGTACATATATATTTTCTTAGATTACATTACATACATATTCTAAACTGCAGCATAAATCGTGCAAAAATTCGAATTTTAGATATGTACATACGTAGTATAACTGAGTCCGTATAACTGAGGTCCGGATAATCGATGTTCTACTGTATGTAATTATCAATTACAATTTTCATCTATCCTTTTCCAGAGTGTTCGTGTCCTAGCCAACCTGTCAGTAAGTCCGGTAGCTGGTGAAGGTCTAGGAAGAGGACGAGCCTTGGCATCTTTACTAAGGCTACTTTTGGCAACAATGAGGTCAGTCAACTACAAACCAACATTCATATCTATTTATCTCATAAATAAACAATCAATCAATCAGTACATCAATTTTAATTCTTTTAGCATATCATAGATGCCGCCACCGACCGTAGCACGTAAATTTACCTTTACCCTTGTTAGATTCAATTCCAGATAAGATTTATATAAATATACAATATACAGAGTAAAGCGCATTTGCTCTATATTTACCCCCATGCTCTATCTAATCAAGTGTATTTTTACAGATGTTGTACTGTCAACAACGAACCCACAAGTTTGCTTATGGCAACACTAGGAGCCCTCCACAATATCGCGTTCTACAAACAGGACGACGTTGACCAGATCGATGATCCTAGATGGGATGACATCACAATGGTAATATATATATATATATATATATATATATATATATATACACATCACAATACATCCATAAGAGAATGAGACAACATGAATTAAGCGTCATTCATCATAAAAGCCGAAGTTTCCAAAGCACTCTTGTCCAACATTCCATTGAAAATTCACATATTTTTACCTTTGAACCCAATATTTTATATAGAAAGGATTGTGCTTTTAAAAGACTTCTTTCTGAAAGCAGTTTAATCTTTTTGAATTCGTCATGTTGTGTTAATAAAAGATCAGATCATAATATCATTCATAATTCATATCTAAATTTTTTAAACCTAATTAAAAACGATTAATCCTTTAATAATTTTGTGTGTATATATACATGTATATATACATGGTCTGTTCAAAAAGTACCCGGAATTACTAATAATTAAATTTCGCGGGTCTGGAGTGTCTGATTGTCAAAATTTTTTTTTTATTGTGTTGGTATACATGCCCCTAAAGTATGATGAAATTTTCAGCTATATTCACTGTTTACTTTGTCTGTGGTAGTCGCTAAGGTTCGACGTGTTTTTCTGAGCTCGGCGATTTTTACAATGGAAGAATTGAAAAGTCAAAGAATTTGTATTAAATTTTGCGTAAAAAATGAAATAAAGTGTTGCAAAGTGCAAAAATTCACCAGATATGGCTCCGTGTGACTTTTTCCTATTCCCAAAGTTGAAGAGACCCATGAAAGGACGGCGGTTTTCCTCGATTGAAGAAAAAAGGCCGAATCGCTGAGAGTGCTCAAGGACATATCAAAAAGTGAATATCAAGGGTGCTTCGAAAATTGGAAAAAACGCTGGCATAAGTGTATTATATCTGGGGGGGACTACTTTGAAGGGGACCACATTAATGTAGACGAATAAATAAATATTTTTTTGAAAAAACGAAAATTACGAAAACTTTTTGAACAGACCTCGTACATGTATATATGTAGTAATATATATTGATTGCTTCTTTTCCGAACAGTAAATCCAATAATAAAAAACAATTTTATTTTTGATGATGTTTAATAACGACGTTTCGGAACTAGATACGTTCCGTCATCAGGTTTATTCTGTCAAAGACAATGTTTTTTTTTAAAATTATTGATTAACATTAATTAATTATGGTCATTACAGATTATTTAGAAAAATTATAAAGGAATGGATTATGTACCAGTGTAAAGAGTAATATATAAAATTGAGAAGCAAAAATTATTTACCTGTAATAATTTATATATCCATATCACTAATATTTTTTGTTAAAAACACTCGATTTTTTTCGAGGATATTTGTAAATGTTTTGACTTCACAAGACTTTGTAACACACTGTTAAGGAATATATACGGACTTAGGCAAAAATATTTTTTTATGGCTCTTGTATTGGTAATTTATGAAAAATGGTAATGTATTGCTTTAGCAAATGTTGAGAAATATTATTATGTATATATATACACGCACATACATACAGTCGTTATTAAACATCTTCAAAAAACAAATTGTTTTTTATTATTGGATTTACTGTTCGGAAAAGAAACAATCAATATATATATATATATATATATATATATATATATATAGTTCTAAAAAATATATTTAATAATAATTTTGTGATTTAGGTTCTCTGTACGATGCTGACTTTGGGAAACGTCCAATCTATCGAGGCAGCCAGAGTGTTGAGCAATTTGACCAGGACCAGGAGGTGCCGAGAGATTTGCCTTTCTTGTGGAGGATTGAAAGTGTTGGTGGACTGTTTGCAAACTGGTAATAAAAAAATACAATAGCAAATTCTGACCAGAACTCTAAAATTTTGACCAGACCTATAAAATTGTAAACAAGACTCACAACTTCTGACGAGTACTCTAAAATTAAGACCAAAACTCTAAAACTCTGACCAAAACTCACAAATTCTGACCAGAACTCTAAAATTATGACCAGTACTCTAAAATTGTGTACAGCAACAATCTTGTAAATATTACTCGATTATTCTGAATTCTTTATTCACTGACCTGGACAACTCTATTTTTGCTCGTCAGTAGAGTCCTTTTCACGTACAGTCCATATTTCAAATTATTACAAGGTTTAGTTTGCTCGTCAGTAGAGTTCTATTCTCTGAAAGTCCACATCTCTGATCTGCACAGAATTCAAATCGCTCATAAGAAGAGTTCTTCTTTCTTAGAGTCCATATCTCTGATCCTCGAGAGATTTAGTTTGCTCGTCAGTAGAGTTCATTTTTTAGAATCCCCGAAATTCTATTTTTACTGATTTTTTCTGTTCGTCAGTAGAGTTCTTTTTTTGATAATGATATTTGTAGAGTCCATATCTCTAATTGCCATAGACAGTAGCATGTCAGTAGAGTTCATTTTTCTCAAAGTCCACATCTCCAATTTGCACAAACTTCAATTTGCTCGTCAGTAGAGTTCTTTTTTTGAGGATCCAAATATCTAATCAGCACAAGATTTAGTTTGCTCGTAAGAAGAGTTCTTTTTTCTTGTATTCTACATCTCTAAATTTAAAAAAGATTCAATTTGCTCATCAGTAGAGTTCTTTTTTCTTATTGTTAGTGTCTAGATTTCATATTTGCAGAATATTAAGTTTCCTTGTCAGTCGAATCCATATTTCTGATCCTCGAGTTGTTTAGTTTGCTCGTGAGTAGAGTTGTTTTTTTCAGAATCCCCGAACCTCTATTTTTACTGATTTTTTCAGTTTGTCAGTAGAGTTCTTTTTTTTTAAACCCATTCGTAGAGTCTCCGATTGTCATTGACTAATATAATACATTATTAATTCTTTCGGTTTGCTCGTCAGTAGAGTTCTATATTTATCTCACATCTCCAATCCTTATAGATTCACCACTACATATTACATTAGTGACTTCTTTAATTTGCTCGTCAGTAGAGTCCCTTTCTTCAGTTCCATAGTATTACATCGCTTATTATATATATAGAATGTTATAAATGACTTATAGATCACATAAAAGTGTTTTCTGGTGTCTGATAGATTGATATTGTCCTTCCTAATAGTCTTCACTAAATTAGTCAATATTTGGTCCCTTTTGGCGCCAATATCTACCAATTGTCATCTTTATTTCCACACCAACTCATTTTTTTTAAAATGATACCAACTAAAAACTGATGCATAAAATCAATTAGATCACTTTTCCTTTCAGATGATTCTGCAGAGTCCCTTCGCACCCTGGCAGGAGCCTGCGTAAACCTTTTAGGAGAACCAGGATTGAGGATTCCCTTTCATAAAGTAGGAGGTCCTGTGGTCCTAGTGAGACTTTTGGAGAAACAGACGCAATATCATCATAAGGATTGGCAACTTTGCGCCCTTTTGTGCCAGGTAAATAAAAAATTAGTGGTGCATGGCATCGTGCCTTAAGGCAAATTGCTGGAACTTACGGTACCAAAAACTGAATTATTAAAAAAAACTTTTAAAAAATTCGATTTTTGAGAAATTTGGATATTTTTTTAAAAAAATTGACATTTTTGAAAAATTTGTTTTTTTATATTTTGAGTTTTTCTTGTATTTTGATTAATTTTGAAAATTTTGAACATATTTTTGAGCAATCGCACTGCATAGCTGATTTGGAGTCGAAATATGAAAGCGCGCGCGCACACACACACATACACAAACACATATATACACACACACATCAATTTTTTCTAAGGTATGCCAAATTGTTCAGAAACCTCTAAAACGTAAAGATATATAAAAAATTTTCATTTTCGATTTTTTTGTGATTACTATAACTTATGTATGATAACTGTACCATCTAGAATTCTGTCATCATAACATTCTTCATAGCTTGTTTATATGTAAATCACGCCTGATCGCACGGCAAATAGATAGACATTTTTACATATTCACTACCAATAAATAAGCATAAGATAGCGTTGCCATTACAACCCCATTTTATGAGGCAGTATTCTTTTACATTTGATTTTTAGATTTAGTTTGCTCGTTAGTAGAGTCCTTTTCTTAATTCTATATTAAGTTTACTCGTCAGTAGAGTCCTTTTCTTAGTTCTAGATTAAGTTTGTTCGTCAGTAGAGTTCTTTCCCATTTGATTTCTGGATTCAGTTTGCTCGTCAGTAGAGTCCTCTTTAAAATACAAAGGTTGTAATTTGTTGGTTACGTAACACTGGCACAAAAATGTTACATACAGAATATCTCAACAATATATAACAATAACCAGATGTGTGATATTTAGGGGGCAATTCTGCCTCATAAAATAGCGTTGTCATGGTAACGGTATCTTATGCTTGTTTCTTGTTAGTGAAACTGTGAAAATGTCAATCTATTTGTCGTACGATCAAGCGTATTTTACATATAAACAAAGCAAAGAAGAATGTTATGATAACTACAGCATCCAAGATTCTGTTATCATAACATCCTTCATTTGCATGTTTATATGTAAAATACGCCTGATCGCACAGCAAATAAATAGACATTTTTACAGATTCACTAACAACAAACAAGCATAAGATAGTAAGATATTTTATAAGGCAGAATTGACCCCTTAGTAAAATTTGTTGATAATTACATTTTAGGTTTCAATTATCATTGTTTAATTTAGGCTTTATGGAACTATCTAATGGACTGCAGTGATGTAGAAGCAGCCCTCGGCGAAGAGACTTCAGAACAAACTGTTTGGGTTCTTCTAGAACTTTTAGGTAAGAACCGAACCAAAAAAATAGATTTATTTTATAATATAAATATTATAAAATAAAAAAAATATTGTATAAATATTTCATAGATGATGGTGGTCCTTCGGACCATTACACAAACGACTACGAAGAATTTTACCACGTTGGTGCACAATTAGTTGGTTACATCGAAGGAAATCTGTATGGACCTGATGAGATTACAGAAATAGCTCCATTAAGGAATTGAAATTAAAAAAAAAAACGACATTACTCGCTTTGTCCTTGTAGTGTTAAACGGTTACCGTAACTTTATTGGAAGTCGCCTTAAAAGTTTTACTTCAAAAACGTAAAATTTAAGAGTTTAAAACACAAACGTATACGTAAAATATGTATTAGCGCAAAATAGATTTTATGCACTTGTCAGTAGCAATTTACCAACACAAACACCAAATTTAAATTATTATAATAATAAATAAATGGTAGTCTGCCCGAATGCAGGTCCATGGTGTGACAGCCACCACAAACAAATGATTTGGCAAAAAATTATGTATTATTAAAATTATCAAAATATTAGATATTACTAAATTATTATATATAAAAAAAAAATATTATATATTATTAAATTAATAAAAATGTCAGAGTGTGCTATAATTGATATTATTAGTTTTATATGTACAATATTAATTAAATTTAATACATATTATATATGATTATTAAACAATAATATTTTAAAATAAAACGGCCGTTTGATTTCAATATGTCAAGAAATAAATTATCACAAGTATCTTATCTTATAAAATATCTTATAAAAATCGGCTCTAATTTAATTATAAGAAATATGATAACCACTTTTATTGGATAATATTGCTCTCTTATCTTAACTTAAGATAAAATAATTTCTTTGAATAACTTTTAGGAACCAATTCTGCGGTAATATAGACGATAACATAGCATTTTTATGACAACCAAAAACATTGAAAATGTTTATTTATTTGCTGTGCAATCAGGCGTATTTTACATATAAACAAGCAAGGAAGAATGTTATGAGTGCATCTTTGTGATGCGCACGGTTTTTTGTGTAAATTACGGGTAATAGTCCAGTAAATTGATAGATTAACAGTTTTTACTACCAAGAAATAAGCATAATATAGCTTTGCCATACAACGATATGTTATCATCTATTTTAGCGCAGAATTAGCCCCAAAATTATAGTGATAAAAGTATCGTTTTGTTTTAATTATCTTATCGAATATTAGAATAAAAAAGCAAGTTTATCCAATTACGGTGCTATTAATTATTTTTTTCAGTAGCAATGATTTAGAATTCAATTTTTAACTTAAGTTTAAAGTTGTATTGAATATACTGTAGTTATCCCGTCACCAACCATAAGGTTTAGCACCTAGAAATAAATCAATAAACCCATCACCAAAATAGAATTGAAACATCATTTTACATATAATGTTACCACGAGACAAATAAGCAAAGCTGTTTTTGCAGACATTTCTGTTCAACCGTACTTAAATTAAATAAAATGGTAAAATATTTTTTTGTTAAGATGCAAGAGTAATTTAAATGTTTTACCAAAAAACAGTTTTACTTCAACAAAACAACTGCTAAAATAAAAAAATTAAAAAAACTCACCAGCAGTGCCTACAAAATTAGCCAACCATCCAGTTCCACCATTGTTGATGGTTGTTGTGTAACGAACCATCAGGTTATTACTGGAAGACGTGTACACTGCAGGTTGATCCTAAAATATTAAAAAATTAAACTAAAATTTAGTTTAGTCTTAAAAATATATATATAGACTTTTAACAAGATGTATTGGAGTAATATCACACCAGGACAAACCAGTCCACCATTGTTTTCGACTTTCATTATTGATCATAAACATGCTTAATTCGACTAACTAGAAAAAATCATGGTAATTGTTTACACAAATGCCAATTTCATTCACTAGTAAATAATTTAGTACAACGTTAACCAAGATCTGTTTTAAAAAAAAGCAGAAATGATCTGATTATACTTATTGGTTACACAAATCAGAACATTCCAATTTGAGGTGATTTCGAATGATTAATTTAAAAAATAATTAATTTAAATAGAATAGTTTATAATAATATATAACTATTAAAATATATCCATGTGTGGAAATAATTTCTAATGTAATGGAGTAAAATCAAACCAGTAAACAGTCACGATTGTTACTTAAAAAGAAATCATTAGGCTTTTATTATAAATCATATCGAAACTCAATTATTAACCAAAATCATGGTGATCTACCAGGGGAACAGTCACATATCAAACAATTTTAGTGGCTTTTATTATAAATCATATGGAAACTCACTATTATTTACCAAAATCATGGTGATCTACCAGGTAAACAGTCACATATCTAACAATTTAGTACCTACAGCGTTAGAAAAGTTCTGTTTTTAGATTAGTAGAAATGATTTGATTATTATTATTGGTTGCACACAATCAAAGCATTCTAAATTCAAGTCATTTATCGATTATTATTACAATATAACTCATTTGTATCATAAAACTTAAATAATTAAATTAAATTTTCTACTTACGCCTCCACAATATCTGGTAACAGTTTTATCAGTTCCTGACAAAGGATCCTTTTCTACAATTTCCAAGAAGTCGTTGGCACAAGTACTCGAGGAACCCATGTCGAAAACTAAAAGGAAAATTATCATTATATTATAATTATATATATATATATATATATTATTAAATATTTATATATAATTATTACTTGAGAATTTAAGTAGTACAACCAGTCCATTGGGTACTGATACGTCCCATGTGCAAGTACCAGCCTTTCGGTAAATTTGTGGATACAAGGGGCTCGAGAAGAGACCTGCATAGTTGAACAAGGTTCCTCCACAACCTCTTCCTAAATAAAAAAAAACAATAATAAATAAAATTAAATAAATTAATAATAATCCTCAACTAAATTTCTTACCTTGGTCGGTGCTAGTATATATGATATCAAAATTATAGCTGCCATAGTCCATTTTAGTATGAGACTTCAAAATCAGTTGCGTCGAATTTGAGAAAATAGGATCAGGAGTTTCGTACCCACAAAGTCTTGCAACTTTTAAGGAAGTCGAGACTTCACCATCGTAAATCTAAAAAATTATAAAAGATATTTATTGTAGTTATGGGGTGATTGGAAACAAGTAGAAAAAAAGTTGAAATAATATCTATTATTTATTATTATTAAATAAAAACAAATAAATAAAAGTAGCATTAGTTACCTCCAAATAGGTATCTTCACAACTTTCGTCCATGCTGTACATAAATAGAGCATTAAAGTACAGAGATAAGGTGTTATTTTCAGGGGCTGAAACTACTATTGTGCAATCGTCTTTGACATTGTCGTACATTATGCGTCCTTGGGTGTGGGAGAAGTTTCTAGAGCAAGCTAAAAAAAAAAGAAATAAAATATACCAGGTTTATTGAAAAAAAGTCTATTAAAACAGAGTACAATCGTGGTTAAGTAACCAAACTAAATATTGAGGATGGAGCTTGGAATTCCACAAGGATCAATATTTGGTCCACTCACTTGCTATTGAGTATTCCAATTTAAAACCAGTCTTCTCGATGGAACTGTCTGATTTGAAGCTGATGACCATTTCGTTTTCTCCAGAATAATAATCAAAAGGCTTCGAAGAGCCACATAAGAAATGGCGAGTTATTGGCATGCCTCCAAACTAAAAAAAAATTGAATAAAACCAACATTATGCATCTGTCGTTGTATGCGTTCCGATATCAACAAGGAAATCGGCATAGATAAATAAACATTTTAAAGTTACATCATAGTACAAATCTTGATTTAATGAAAAATACCTGAATCAGAAGAATTGTTACCCTGTTCCTTGAAAATAATAAAACAAATTAAATATTTATGCCGTGTAATAAACGTAAGTTTATTGATTAGAATTATTTCTATATTAGGTTGTCAAATATCTCCCTTCCGCCTTTTTGTATTATAAACCAAGAGCAAAAAAGCGGAAGCGAGATATTTGACAACCTAATATTATTCGTAAATAAAAGGGACTCTACTGACAACCAAACTAAAAATGAAAAAAGGAGGAGAAAAAAGGACGAGCAAAATAAAAATAAAATTCAAAGAGACTCTACTGATGATTAATTTAAAATTAAAGATAAAAGGGACTATACCGATGAGCATACTGAAAGGGACTATACTGACGAGCATACTAAGAACAAAATTAAAAAGGGACTCTACTGACTCTACTAAAAAAAAGAAGGTGGTAAAAAATAAAAATAAATCAGTACTTACCGCGTATGGTCTATTATCTTTCGGAGCCTTTCCAAAAACAAAATCATTCCCCAAGCCTTCTGATATAAACTGAGAATGCTGCAAGAGAACAAAACAATTAACCAAAATTAAAAACTAGTGGTGTATGGCATCGTGCCTTGAGGCAAATTGCTGGAACTTTCGTACCGTAATGAAATATTCGAGAAATTTTAAACGTTTTCAAATATATTATTGCAAATACTGTAACTTTCATTATCTTTGCTATCTTGTTATATCTGAGCAAATCAAATGTAAATCATAAATCATTTATCATCTCCAGAACATTAACAATCGTCATTTAATTTCGAATTCAATTTCAAAAAAAAATAGTTGCCTAATTTACACAAAATTGAAAAAAAGCTCCCGTACAGTCACAGTCTAAACGCATTTGCAAATAATTCTGTGCGACATTTTCACTTATACTGTGCTTAGCACGGCGGCATTTTCACATTTTTCAATAGTTTTCACAAAATTGGAAAAGTGGTCCAGTACATAAACAGTCTAAACGCACTTGGGTATACATTTGCACCGGAGTGGCGCTTAGACTGTGCTTAACATGGGTAATTTTTAAAATTTTTGTATTTAGTATTTTTCATCATCAACTGTATTTTCCAGACATGAAAAATAAAAGGACTCTACTGACAAGCAAACTATATTTTGCATTATATGAACTGACGAGCAAACTGAAATACTCGTCTGCTCGTCAGTAAAGTCCCCTTTTATATATTTTAACTTTTGCTCGTCAGTAGGGTCCTTTTATTAATTCTAGATTAGTTTGCTCGTCAGAAGAGTCCCTTTTTATTTCTAGATTAGTTTGCTCGTCAGTAGAGTCCCTTTTTTAATTCTAGATTAGTTTGCTCGTCAGTAAAGTCCCTTTTTTAATTCCAGATTAAGTTTGCTCGTCAGTAGAGTACCTTTTTTAATTCTAGATTAGTTTGCTCGTCAGTAGAGTCCATTTTTTAATTCTAGATTAGTTTGCTCGTCAGTAGAGTCCCTTTTTTATTACTAAAAATGCGGACATACAAAACACACACACATATCCATTTAGTTTCTGAGGTATGTCTCTTAAAAATGTTCAGAAACCTTCAAAACGTTGAGAAATGCAAAAATTTTCATTTTAGATTTTCGACCCATTACTATAACTACCCTACGGGAAGTTAAAAATAATTATCTACTATCATCTATCAGGGAAGGAGAAGAATGCAGACGATTGACGACTTACGCGAGAAGAGAAAATACAGGGAACTGAAAGCCAAAGCACATGATCAACAAGCATGGAAACAAAAATTTGGAAAGGAAAATACATGAAATAAGAAATAGGGATAGGGAATAGTGGTAATGGGATGAAGGGCAAGGAAGTCATTTGTTGTGGTGGCTCTCACACCATGGACCTGCCTTCGGGCAGACTACCATTTATTTATTATTATCGTCTATCACCTGTTTATCAGATATCTCCAAAACATCCCGACTGCACACACCATCAGCATCGGGTTCTTGCAAATCACAAGTCGCCACATGGACGTCTATCCTGGTACCTGTTGGTGCAGTCAACAACCAGGTGCACCTTAAGGAAGGAGGATACTTTGTAGGGAATCCTGGTGCAGTCAGGATTTGACGAGACTTTGTCACGTCGAGGACGTTCTTACCACACAAAGCTGGGTAAAATGATAATTATAGTTGGGTAAATAAAGGCACATATACTTTGTAAAAATATATGGTACACACATGGTATAGATTTTATGGTAGCATTAAACCCTGAACTTGTATGTTCTCCATCTGACACAAATCGTATCCACAAAGCATTTGTGGATGATATTACAATATCCGGTAGCATGTGACCACAGTATCTTCCGATAAGTGGTGCAAATCCTGTGCTACCATCACGAACCTGGGGGTAAAAAAATTAAAAAATTAACAAGAAACTAAAAAACTTAGGAATCGATTCTGCCGCATAAGAGAGCAAGGTTATGGCTATGTATAAAACAATATATATATATATATATATTTATATATCCAATTCCCATACAAACCGAGACAGCTAGTATATATATAATCATGTATAAATCGATATATACATTTATATATCCAATTCCCATGCAAACCGAGACAGCTAGTATATATACAATCATGTATAAATCAATATATACATTTATATATCCAATTCCCATACAACTTGATACAGCTAGTATATATATAATCATGTATAAATCAATATATACATTTATATATTCAATTCCAATCAAAACCAAGACAGCTAGTATATATAAAATCACGTATAAATCGATATATACATTTATATATTCAATTCCCATGCAAACCGAGACATCTAGATATAATCATGTATGAATCAATATATGTTAGATAACAGGGTCTTTCTCACTCAGCTTCATACATACGAATGGCACGTAAAATAATTGCAAAAAAATTTAATTTTTTTTCGTACAAATTTTTAACAGTATATTTTAAAATTACATTTTTAAGTGCCCATCATTGCGTGCCATTCGTATGTTATGAAGCTGAGTCAGAAAGACCCTGTTATCTAACATATATTGATTTATACATGATATATATATACTTGCTCTGTATCAAATTGTATGAGAATTGGATATATAAATGTATATATCGATTTATACATGATTATAATATATATATATATATAGTATATATATATAATATATATATATTATATATATTATATATATATATATTAGCTACCTCGGTTTGCATGGGAATTGGATATATAAATGTATATATTGATCTATACATGATTATATATATATACTATCTGTCTCAGTTTGTATGGGAATTGGATATATAAATGTATATATTGATTTATACATGATTATATATATACTAGCTGTATCAAATTGTATGGGAATTGGTAATATAAATGTATATATTAATATATACATAATTATATATATACTAGCTGTCTCGGTTTGTATGGGAATTGGATATATAAATGTATATATTGATTTATACATGATTATATATATACTAGCTGTATCAAATTGTATGGGAATTGGTAATATAAATGTATATATTAATATATACATAATTATTATATACTAGCTGTCTCGGTTTGTATGGGAATTGGATATATAAATGTATATATTGATTTATACATGATTATATATATACTAGCTGTATCAAATTGTATGGAATTGGTAATATAAATGTATATATTAATATATACATAATTATATATACTAGCTGTCTCGGTTGTATGGGAATTGAATATTTAAATGTATATATTAATTTATACATGATTATATATACTAGCTGTCTCAAATTGTATGGGAATTGGTAATATAAATGTATATATTAATATATACATGATTATATATATACTAGCTGTCTCAAATTGTATGGGAATTGGATATATAATGTATATATCGATTTATACATGGTTATATATATACTAGCTGTCTCGGTTTGTATGGAATTGGATATATAAATGTATATATCGATTTATACATGATTATATATATACTAGCTGTCTTGGTTTGTAGGAGATTGGATATATAAATGTATATATATTTATACATGGTTATATTTATACTAGCTGTTTTAGTTTCAATGGGAATAGATATATAAAGTATATATTGATTTATACATCATTATATACCTTAGTTTCGATGGAAATTGGATATATAAATGTATATATTGATTATACATCATTATATACATACTAGCTGTCTTAGTTTCGATGGGAATTGGATATATAAATGTATATATTGATTTTACATGATTATATATATATATATATATATATATATTATATACTACGGTCCTGGTGCTATTTGT